AGCTGCAGGAAAACTTGCAGCCACCCAGCTGTGCCTGCCTCTCCCTGGCCGATCTGAATCAGCACCAAATCTCTGATTCCAATTCAACCAAATCAAATGAAGACAGTGACAACCTCATCAACTCACACTGCCAAACTTTCAGACTCATGGGGAGACTCACAGACTGAATGACTCAGCTCTGCAGGCTGGAACTGGCCCACTGGCCATATTTTGAGCACTACTGCAGTAAAGATGTTATACAATTAAGACAATTTGAATTTGCGACTTTATAAATCCTGTGTAAAGGATATAAAAAGGTCAGACACACAGCTGTTAGCCCTCAGTTAGCATCTTATCAAATAAATGGTTCTGAATCACACAGCATTACAATTCTTTACAAATACCCTACGCTACAGATTTTTTCAATGCCCAGAAAGCCATCTTCAAGTTTTCCAAGTCAAGTTTCAGAAAGCTCTGGCACAGCTATTCACCAGCCACAAAGTCAAGAATAGAAGCCACCTTTAATCTTGGAAAGTTCTTATGCACAGCACACTAAACCAAGTTTAAGTCACAATGCTCCAGCACTCTCTCCAGAAGACTTAAGCCTCTCAACACACAGACCTTGGCTTGAAAAGCTTACGCCAAGATCAGTGCTGATGCTAAGAAGCCTGAAGTGGGAAGCACTGCAGATCTAGAATTCCCATAGAAGTATTTTAGAAGTATACTTTTCAAGCTTTCAAGACACATATAACTACTTACTCTACTCCAAATCCCTGTTGATTCCATGCTTGGCTATACATTCCATATGATGGTACTTGCCACCCGTTAGCCATGTATTGCCCATACTGCTGAGGATTTCCATACACTTGACTCCACTGTCCCCACTGACTGTAGTCCACCTAAGGAAAAAAAAAAATTCATGGTTCCATGGACAGAGTAAGTAATATGTTTGCTGACAAGGTCAAATATTTAACCTATGGAATCCTGGCTGAAATCAGTTTTTTAGTTTTAACAGAAAAATAAGGAAAAAAAATTGCTTCTGCAATACTGAAATTAAAATTAAGGTTGCATTATTAAACTAGTTAGCTGGAGCTTTACCCAGTCCTCATAACTATAACAACTAGATTTTTTTTACCCCCAAAGTCACTCCCACACTTGAATCAGACAGAAGTGATATTTCAGCAAAACCACAAGCCCAACCTGATCAACTAGGTTACATAAACAAAGATGACTAAACATGTGATCTCACTAAGAACTTTACTATCTAATTCAGAATGATTCACAAACTAGTGATGATCATTTAATGGAGCACATCAGTTTTTACACTCCATTATTTCTGTGAAACACTAAACAAATTTTCCTAATAGGTTAAATTTTAGTTACCTGTTGGAAGTTTTTAGTCATGTCAGGGGATTCTTTACCCCAATAGCATTTAACAACATGTCCTTCAATCGTAGTTCCATTAACTGAAACAATTGCATGTGCAGCACTTTCGTGGGTTGAAAACCTAGAGAGGACAAACAGAAATGAAACCCATGCTACTCTGATGAAGTTTTAATTTAACGTTAAAAGCCACCATTGCAGGAAATGGACATAGCTTGTTTCAACTATGACAGTCTTTATAGGCCTTCATCTTCCGAGATCCAAATGCATAATGAGATGTTTAAAGCTCCAAATTTTCCTATGAACATACACTTTAATAGTGACAGTATTTGGAGTATCTTCAAATACATATTACCTAATGATGCACGTAAGAAATTAAACAGTAACTACATTTTCAATAATAGCCTTACCTGACAAATGAGTAACCTTTCTCTGGAAAAACTCTTATTTCCATGATCTGTCCAAATGGTGAAAATGTTTGTCTCATAAGTTGATCTAAAATAGATGCAATGTTTTTCAAACAAATAATTAGTGATTTTGGTGCACAAAAAGAACAAAAACAAACAAAAAACCAAAAAACGAGTGAAATAATAATACCTGTTAATCCAGAGGCAATTCCTCCACAGTAAACAGTACAATTTTTTGGACTTGACTGATTTACTACATCTTCAAATCTCAGTTGTTTTGTGCTATCTATATTTAGAAGGAAAAAAAACACAGAAGGCTCGAATCTGTTTTCAATTATTTTGTACAGAATTATACATTTGGCGTATGCATCCTATGTTTTAAAAGGAAAAAAAAAAATCAGTGGAAAAAACCTACAGTGGACTTGATTCACGAGGCCTTTATTATTTAAGGGCTGAATATCAAATATTTTGAATTAGGAATGAAGTGAATTTGGTTGTTAGACTACTCCTAAACAAAAATGTTACATTGTTGATACTAAACAGTCCATATATACTCAAGAGCAAAAATAGGATAACATATGAAGTCTTACTTTCTTGTGTACTTTTAGGTGCCGGTGGTTTTCGTGTCGCCCAGTTAGTTCTAATCTGACGGCCTCCCAACCACTGGCCTCCCATGTGCACAATTGCGTTTTCTGCATCCTGAAGGAGAGCAAAATAAGAACATTTTCAACAAGTACAAACAAGAGAGAAGGTGACTAAGTGTATACAGCCTATTACTTTTGAGAATTAACTTAGTTGTCATTAGGATCAATTTATACACAAGAGCAAGGCCACTTACTACTCAAGTTTATCCAGCATTCAAGATAAAGAAGTTTCAGCATAAAAAAACTGCAGTACAGGAGTTCTCCACTTACCTGATACATGGCAATAATGCTTAACATGTTGCGAGTCCAGGTTTAATACTTATGGCTTGCATTGTAACCAACTCTGGTTATCTGCATATTGGTTAAACAGATAAACCACTCAAATACAAAGCATCATTTTCAAGCCCACTTTCTACTTTGTAACTTAACTGAACTGCTGTGGTTAACTGCACAGTAACTGTACCCTTAGTAATTAAATATATTCCATTTAACTGGATGGAGAGTGAAGGAGAAGCAACTGTGAAAGAGCTGCTTTAGAAGCCTAGAAAAATGAGGGGAGCTGGTCATTTTAAGAGCTGCTAACACCACAGCATTGAAAGTGTAGTGTACTTAAGCAACACTGTTTAATTGAATTCAGATAAGTGCATGGCCTTTTTTCAATCCTGAGGCTCTGCTATGAAACACAGGACAAAGGTTGAACTGTATGTTAAGTGCAGACGCTACTTGTAATGGGGCTCACCACTAATAAACATTATAAACAGAAGTTAATTGTGAGAATGATTTTTTTTTTTTTTTTTTTTTTTTTTTTTACAGAGAGAAGCAGCGCATGCACAAGTTGAAAGGCTCTTTAAGGGTTTATCTAGTAGGATCTCCCTAATGTTATAAAGATGATGCAATGCAAAGAAAGTGAGAACAAGTAGAATAAAAGGCTGGGAGGAATTTAAAAAGAATAGAAAGGGTAGTTAGAGATTACTGACCCTGCAGTGTGGTAAACACTTTCAAGAGGTTCTAGCTACTTTTTCTGCCACAAAGAACAGTCATTAAACACCTTGCAGGTTGGACCCAAAGTCCCTTAAGGAAAGAGTGAGAGTCTTAAATATGATCCAGGAAGGGGAAGATAATCCAAGAAGATCAGGACAGCACACCAAGTCATTTTAGAATAATTAAATTTTCTATTAAGAGAAAAGATAACTGAACTGCAAAAGCTTTAGTACCTATGAAAAAGAAGAAAAGCACTTGAATTCTTGTTGGTTGGTTTTGATTTGTTTGTTTTTGGGGGGGAGCTTACAAGAGACCCTCGCCATTCGCGGGGGATATGTTCTAGAGATCCCCATGAATGGGCAAATCCACAAATACTGTACTGCAGTGCTTCTCAAAGTGGTGGTCCGCAGACCAGTGCCGGTCCACAAGCCACCGGTCACCAGTCTGCAGCAAGTTACCAGGAAAGAAAGAAATATATTTTCAGAAGCATAACACTGATGTCATAGCGCCACAGTTCGTACGTTCCAAAACTCCAGGTGATGTCACGTCCTGCGAGGTGAGGAAAGAGAAAGAAAGAGCTGGCCGCACATTTGTGTAGCACTGTTACATGCAGTTGCTGCCACCGGCTGAACCAGGCACCGGTCCCTGGCCTGCTGGAAAAAAAATTGCTGGTCTGAAACAGATAGTTTGAGAAGCACTGCTGTACTGTACCAATAATAGGCTAGGATAAACAGGATGGAGACAGTAAATTCCAATAAAATGCTAACTAGTGTTTTATTTCCTCCTCTAATAAAACCCTAAGCTGATACTGCAACATACTGAATGTAAAAGTATCACCAGAGCATAATTACAAAGTGTCATCACACTGCCCAGGGAAAGAGTGGGTTGGCACGAAGCACCACGAATATTTGAAATCGCAAATCTGTGAATAGTGAGGGTTTCCTGTATTTTTTTTTTTCTGGGTGGGGGGCTTAACTGAAGATTGTTTTATACTAAATTCAACACCTATTTATCTCTAAAAATACCAAGCTTTAAGTTGATGGAAGTTGTTACTGTCACCACACTTACACTGTCAAAGTAAAAGTCAATTTCACTATTTCTCCTACACACAGTTAAATTTCAGTAGAAAACCCAGCCCTTGGGTAAAGGCATCACAACGAAAAGGGACGTTTTTTGGTTTTTTTTAACATGCCTGTAAAGTTACCCAAACTGGTAAAACTAAATTGATGGGGTCAGTATGTGCTACCACACCCAACTCCTTTCTTATGTATTCAAAATCATTCAAATTGCTGTTCCTTTAATGAGTGATCTGTATGACTATTGCTCCAACTAGAGATCAAGTTTAAAACTGCAATGTGACTACTCACCAGTTTGTTATAAAATGATACAAAACCATAGCCTTTTGATTTTCCAGTTGCCATATCTTTAACTACCCGTGCATCCCTGTGAAAAGAAGCACAGCTATATGAGGGAAATATTATTAACCTTTGAAATAAAAACTAAAAGGAACCACACACACTGTATTGTGAGCATAATTTTTTTCTCTTATAAATTCAGTTAGCCCTAAAACTATAGTCATTCCTGAACTCTCCCTACAGCCTCTTTACCTGTTAGAAAAAAGCAGTAGGACAAAAAATAACATGTAATAAACATGCAACCTATCCACATAACCTATACTGGCTAAAACTAAAATGTTCAAATTTTGAAGTTTAAAAAGGAACAGTTTCCTTTTCTAATATTCTATTGGCTAGGGTCGTCTAAGGTTTACTGTTCTATAATATTACTGTAACAATTCTATCTACTTTACCATGCATTCTCTAAATAGTTAAATGTCTTCTGCCTAGTGATACAAAATATATGAAATATTAAAAAATTGAAAAAGAGGAAAAAAAATAGGAATTAAAAGGCATACATGGCCTGTTAACAGATTTCTTTATTTTTCTTGGTCAATTCTCTACCATCATTTTGGAGTTTGGGCAGCTGTAAATTTTGAAAAATTGACATTTTCAGAAATTTAAGAAAGGAGAATAAAACTAACAACAATGCTAAGCACACCAGTACGAAAACAACAAATTTACACAGAAATTTTTAGTGAGTAAGTTAAAATGATTGGAAATATAGAACTGCACTGAATATAGAATGTTAAAATGTAAATACTAAAATATGTATATATAAATAATGTATAATAAGAATAAATAGAAATGAGAAAAAATCTACAACTGAGTTCCAGTGTGCACAGTTCCTTGCAGTTAGCCTTCAAGATCCTGTCCATTCTTATGAGCAATTCTGCAAAATAACCAGAATGCTATTACTTTTAATTGTGACTTGGACTTAAAAAAACTGCAGGTCTCAGGTATAAATATAGATTGAGAAACAGAAGCCTGTATATTCTTTTTATATTGATTTTTAAACAATACTACTTACCACATTTAGAGATAAAAAGCAAAGTAAACAAAATAGCAGAAGGTAAGAAATAAGGTTTATGGTTCATTTAAAAATAAGCGCACAGAACAACAAGAGAAAAATGAGAATTTTTGTTTTTAGAAATATTTCGGCAAAGTAGTATAAAAATGTTCACGTGTAACTTTAAGGATTTTAAGAGAGAAGATATAAGGAGATTAATGTACTTTTTTTTGAAGTAGCTAACTTAAAGACATACATACTAGCACTCCTTGCAATGTTCAATTAAAGCATATATTTTGAAATATGATCTCAAATATAATAGCTATGAAAACTTTAAAGATTTCTCTCAACTGGTAGAAGTGTGCATAGTACTGTAAACACAACATTCTTCCACTGACATATTGTAACTTTCAATTTATCCCCTCCTAAAAACTGGAAAGTTTTCATACTTGAGGATTTTTGCTTTTAACAAGACATGTTCACAACTTAAAACTCTACTAGTTATACCAGCTGTATCACAGAATTATACCCTAATTAACTGCTTTTCTGTTACCTATGCAAATTTTAGATTCAGTATACACCCCTTGAAATTTCCCCGAGTCACTATTCTGCACACAAAAGTTGAACAAAATATTATTTATGCTAAAGAAGTATTGCTTTAGTAACTGTTTGATTAGAAATATGACGGAACTTAGCATATAAAATCAGGTTAAAAGCATATTGCTTTCAACAAAGTGAAGACAAATTGGCGCACAAAATTCATTTACTGTATTTACAAACATGCAAAACACAAGATGAAATGTAACACTTCTCACTGCCCACCCAATATAAAACTCTTATCACACAGAGAAATAATCTGAAAGAGATGAAGAAATATCATTTTAGAAAGAAGCAAACTTAATATAATTCTCCCTGACGTGATGTTTGCAGTATTGATCATGATACTTACGATATTTTACCAAAGGGAGCAAATGCTGACTTGATGTCTTCTGTTGTTATTTCTGGACTTAAATCCCCAACAAACACATGGAAGTGATCTGAAAATAAAGGATTTACTAATCAAATATTTAACTGTTATCTAGTCATTTAAATCATTACGCCCTTCTCAGAAAAAGATACTTTGAGCTCAGCACTGGGAAGCCAGGAACACCCACATTCCGTTTGATGTTCAGCAGCAATTTAAACTTTCCATCTGAGTTTCCCAATTTGCAAAGCAGAGCAAGAAACAGGGAGAATTAGTAAGTAAAATGCCACAAATCTTAGTGTTTCTGCTATGAAAACACTTGATGGTGAGGGAAACCATTTCATTTAGATGTATTTGTGACTGCAACTATATTTCTATACAGATATTTTGTAATGTAACACTGCATTACTTACTGGATGTATCTTTTTTCTGGCTACTTGGTGTTGTTGCCCAGTTTACTTTGACCTCCTGAAAATAAGTGTAAGCTTTAGTATAAATTCATAAAACTACTGCATATTGTAAACTCATTCACAGGCAAGTTAAAGCAGTACAAAGCCTTCTATAACAGGAAACATCAGATTTTCGATTACCACAGCATACAGATATTTCTTAACTAAATACACGGTACAAATGTTCAAAATGATCTTCACTGAAGTTATTCACTTAATAATTTAAGTATTTTACATAATTTTTCTTAAATCTTAGCTATAAATAGCCAACTTACCTTTCCCAAAATTTTTCTCCCATTCATAGCAGCTAATGCAGCAGCTGCATCTCTGTGTTCATAAAATTCCACAAAGCAATAAGGGTCATTGCTTGTATGCTGCAAAACAGAAAATCCAACAGAAGAGTTGACCCTTCTGCTATCGGGTTGCTGAGAAGAAAATCCAGGAAAATATATTACTTATAGCTAGAAATTTTAAGAATGATACTGCAATTAGTTTATGAAATAGCCTTTGAAATAACATTTTAAGAGTGTAAACTGGACCAATTTTCTTTT